TCTCCTCTCTCTCTCCTCTCTTTCTCCTTCTCCCCCATTCGTCTCATCTCTCCGTTTAGCTCCTCGGCTCCTAAACCACTTCTTCTCCTTCTCCGTTCCCTCTCCGTTACAGGCATCCCTCCCACTAACGACTGACAAGCACGACGACGCGCTCCTCGCACGACACATAAGGATCGCGTATACGCTGGCGCGCGTGCAGCCGAGCAAAAAAATGTCGTAAAATATAGTTCCTCCGTGGATATGCAAGCTACGACGGGCCGGGCCCTCGAAGAAGAAAAATGCGCGTTGGGTCGCGCGACCGGCCGCTCTTGGGACGATCGAATCGATGGGACGAGTCAGGTAACATCCACTCCTCGTTCCTCGCGGTTGATCGTAGGTGTTGCTGAAATTTGATTCCCCGCCGCGACGCTGCACCGACGCGACTTCCGATCATGCGCGCGCATTCATCCCCGTTGCATTCGTCGCCGCGGTACCTTCCGACTTCCGACATTTAACCACCGCGAGTGATCAGATACGTCATATTGTTTTTTTTTATCTCTCGTTCGATCTTTTTTTCTCTTCTAATTTCTCTTTTATTCTCAGATCAGATTCTTCGCTAGAAGAAATAGATACGAGGTATAGGGATATAAGGAAGATAGAGGAAGAGATATGAAGGAAACGTTGATTTTCCTCGCTTCAATCGGCAGAACGTCGAGAAATGATCATCGAGGAATCTTCGCCGTGTTTATCTTCTTCCTCTTTTTATTTATTTATTTATTTTATTTTTTTTTTTCCTAATATTTCCAAGCCGATGTTCTATCTCGGGTCGGAGGCGAAGAGCGGCGCGCATCGACGCGGCAAAACGAGCATTCCGCTTTCATTCGCGCCGCATAACGATACACCCGGCCTGCGTGTCGCATCGATCTTATAAACCAGCATCAAACGGAGAGCAGCCGAATGAGCGGAGCCGGCCAGCCAGCCTCAGCCACACCCCGACGCGATTAAACCTGTTGCTGCTTCGCTCGTGCTTCGGCTCGCCTCCATAGACGCTCCATACACGTAGGTGTTCGACTGCGAGTATATGCGGAGATCGCTCTTAAACTCCTCGGACGAATGCTCGAGGACGCGTAGTTACCAGTTTCTAATCAATAGATTCCGGACGATTGACGATCGTCGATGCTGGAACGCGAGATATTTTCTTGCCTTCGCCGCTCCACCTTTCCCTTAGTTATGTATCTTTTAGCAATTTGTACAATTTCCTTATTTTTCTCTTTTCTTCCCTCGGATAATAACAGCTCAACGAGTACTCGTATCGTTGTCGCAGTGATCTATAGTTTTTGCGGATATTATGAATCGTATTTGATACATAGAATCGAAGTTTTTAAACTTTTTACAACCGTGTAATAAGTGTGATAATTATTTCTGATAAATGCGAGTGTAACGTATATGTCGTTTCAAAGAAGTAAGAATAAGAATTCGATTCGGAAAAGAGATTAATTAAGAGATAGAAAATCGAAATTTTATGTATGATATAATATGTAATATATAGGATATTAGGAAGATACGAGAAAGGGCGGGAAAAAATTTCGTTATTGCCATCCGTTCCATTCTTCGCCACCAGATCAGCAGTTTCGCTTACCTTTGACTTATGACTCTCGCCACTCTAACGTTGTCCAACCGAGATCGATGCGAGAGCAGCGTATATAACGAGGACTCGAATTTCGCGTCTCCAGTAACGGTGTGACGCAATTCGGTAAGCCGGCCGCGAGGGGTGAAGCCAGGGGTGATGCTAGGTGGGCCGTGACAGAAATTAGGGGCTAGGTTTCACGTAACAAAACCGATCTTATCGGTAACGTTTAATTATCAGTGTTTATTATTCGACGAATCGATCGCGCGATAAAACACGACACACCAAACTCTTGAGCCAACAATTTCCAACCTTGCATTCCTCCCCGTTAATAAAAATTCCCTCCTCCAACTATTCTATTCCACTTTTATCGATTGCGTACGTTTCTCATTCGTCTGACATATACATATACATATATAGGTACAAGTACACAAACATGCATGCATAGATGGGCGAGTAAGAGTGAGAGTAAGAGTAAATGGTGGAAAAGACGAGCGAGAATAAAGCGAGGAAAGAATCCTTGGATCGGGTCGCGGCGCGTACGGAGCAGCATCCGGAGAAGTCCTCGCTGGGGGTTAGGGTCACGTCAACGTAAAACCAAGGTAGAGATGGTGGCGGTGGAGGCAGCGTATGCGACGTGGTGGGGAAGGGCAAAAAGGTGGCGAGAGAGAGCGAGGGGGATTCATTGAGGAACGGCACGTGCGGGGAGGACAGAGCGCTGGCGTGGAGAGAGAGGTGGATGGAAGGAACGGCGACGGCAGGGGGTAGAGGCCGGGGCCAGAGGGGCAACACGGGGTTGCCTGGCGACCGTCAGCCGACGGGTTGCCCCTGGCGACTGATTGCGTCACTGCAGCGCCGTATGACGTCACGCGACGCCACTGCCCTTGACCGCTCGAGTCCGGGAAGAGCGTCCTGCCGACCCTCTCCTTCCCCCCCCAACAGGAAGGGTGGCTCTGACGCCGACGTAATCCCGGAGGGGCGAGTCAAGGGGTATCGTATGCACGTTGCGAGGTATACTCGCGTTTTCCACCACCACCACCACCACCACCACGTAGGGGGTTGCAAAGGGGATACAAAAATAGTCCGCTCGTACGTTCGTAGATATTTTAGGAATTACGTTGATCGCCGCTCGTTATTTTTACCGCGCCGATCACTTTATGCGCCGTTGCAACGATTTGATATTCTTTTTTTCCTCTTCTTCTTCTTTTTCTTCTTCTTCTTCTTCCTCTTCTTCTTTTTCCACGATCCCGTCCGCGAAGCGGACGGATGATAATGAGATTAGAACGGGCATCGATCGGTGGAAGAAGGATGATTACGCTTTCGTCGCCTCGTTCTTTCCCTCTTTTGTAGGCTCGTAAGTGCATTAACGTCAACGGGATTCCTCCGTGCCCGTGGATCGATTTTTGGAACTGACTCGATGAGACAACACCTGCTCCTCTTTGCATCATCGACGATGATGAGTTACGGAATGGAAATAAGATCGACAATTTATCGAGATTAATTTTCGTTTATTTGTGCAGGACAAGGAACCGAAGGCATTTGAACCGCGTATTGGGGAATAATCGAGACTGCCAGTCATCGACTCGATCTTCCCGGATGTTACGATTTCAACGATCTAATAAATAGTCGAGAAAAGTGCATAGCGCCGGATACATACAAATGTGAACGCTTTACGTTTCGTTCAAATATTTTATAACTCCGCAATGCTCCTATTGGAACGGAATTGCGATTCGTAGGCGGGAAACGTACGCGCGTAACTTGCTGCTCCAAGCCCACTGCACAATGAAAAAGCAAAAAATGAGGCGATTACCACTCAACTTTCTACCATTTACGTCATAAGTGCATCTTGGGAAAAAATCGAAATCGATTTCAAGATACAGATTTAGATTATCTACGATATCTGTAATTTCGAGAACATGGAGGAATATAAATTTTCAAAATATTTAAGGATAAAATGTGTTATGTTCATTTATTAAATTTTAATCGCCTTATGCATTTTGTACTTGTTTTATTACATTTTATGATAATATGTATCTTATATACAATTTTTAATAAAATAATTACATGAAATATACGATTGGAAAATGATTTTTTTTATACCCAATACATTTTTGCAGTTCGAGTTTTTACAATTTCAATTTCCATGCGCGCGTACGTATGTAAGTAAGTATATGTGTATACCGAACCCTATTCAGCTGACGTCTATTCATTCACTCTGTTCATCCATTCATGAAATGCAATGAAGTATTGCGCATGCGCAAATTTTCGTTTCCTTCTGCTTTTGAAACTTACATCTTATCGACTGTTGAAATAATTGCTTCGATCCTATGAAAATTGCATTACGTTTACAATTTTATTCCAAAATTTCGAAAAAATATGTTTGTCTTCAAAAAATTATTTTTAATATTCTACTAAAAAGTTGCCAATAGATAGAAAAATCAAAGATAAGATACAAAATAGACTCCTTTCTTATGACAGTTTAGGTTTCACGTTCTGAATTACCGATCGTACAAATAGTGGTTTTGATGTGCCCTCTATAATTTAGAGCGCCGAATTTAAGAATTACATTCAATATCTAAATATATATTAATATTATATTAGGATGTATTTTAAATGTTTCGATAATAATAGATGCGTGTATAGAATTATTCATTACAAATCAAACTCATGTTTTATATAGAGAGCATAAAAAACATTCTGAAATTTTATTCGTGAATATATTTCAACATAAAAATCTACTATTACCCGAGCAGCAGAAAAAATCTTAATATTATGTATATCATTTGTATTTTTATACATTCAACATGAATGTATAGTTTGACCAATATATATATTTTATATTTTTATATATATATATATTTTATGTACATTTTTATGTTTCTATATGTTGTATTCACTTAATATACTTTAAATTCTTATATATACATATATATATATATATTTTATATATATCTTTATCTTGTACATTTTATATGCCATATACCATTTTGGCCAATAATTGATCTGACTACTTTTCCGATTAATGATTGACTTATACTACTTACTCTGTCACACCAATAAGTTCAGCTATGTTGTTTACCAAGAAGATTAAGAAAATAATAAAAAATGATATTTTTGATAACATAATATGATAACATAAAGAGACAAGCATGCAAGATTTAAATTTAAAAAAAAAGTAAAAAAATTTCAAAAAAACTCAGTATCACGTATAAGTACTATATATAAAAATACTTCTTATATTATATTCTTTTAATATAATCATAAATTCAATCAAATATTCTACTCAATCCAGAAAAGAGATAAGTATGTAAAATATAGATATTTCTAGAAATAAAGAAATTATTGAAAAAAATGATTCAAATTTTAAAAATAATAATAGCTGCAACAGTAAGTATATAATTGGTAAGTATTCCGCAGGTAAGTATAAAAAACGAATATTTTAGGAATTAAAAAATTATTTAAAAAACGATACAAAACTTTAAAAAAAATAACAACTGCAATAAGTAAGTAATTAACTATAAGTGATAAATATTTTAAAATTTTATAAAAATTCTTTTTTTGACAAACACTTTTTTTTCTCTTTTGACAAAATTTCGCCCAAAATTGTTGAATTTAAAATTTTTGAAGAAAAATTTATCACATCTTCCTTATAATATAATATTCTAATACAAAATCAAAAAATTAGCCAAAATTTCATTCCTATACTTTTATTTCAGGAATTTGACATCATTTCCAACAATTTGACGTCATTTCCAAGAAATGACAAAATTCTTGGAAAAATTTCTCGAACAACCTCTTATCAATTTATGTTCTCCTAATACAAAGTGGAAATTTTAACTAAAATTTTGTTCGTCTAAGAATTTCAAAAATTCCAGGAATTTGACGTCATTTCCAAGAAATGGCGAAATTTTAAAAAAAAATTTCGACCTCCTATCAACTTATATTCTCCTAATCCAAAATCGAATTTTCGGCCAAAAATTTCGTTCGTTCAGAAATTTCGAAAATTCCAGAAATTTGACATCATTTCTAAGAACTATTCAAATTCTTGGAAAAATTTCTCGAACGACTTATATATATTATATTATATATTATATATATTATTATAAGGATCAATTTTTATATTTTATGTTTTCCTGATACAAAATAGAAAAATTAGCAAAAAATTGTTGTACTTAAAATTTCTGATAAAATTTCGCGTGTCTTCTCGCTTATTATATTTTCCTAATATAATGTTGAAATTTTAAGCAATAAAAATTTTTCCAAATTTATTTTTTTATTTATCTTTTATTTATTTTCTTATATGCTTACATTTTTAATATCTAAAATTGAAAAATCCAGGAATTATAAAAATATATAAAATAAATATACATTACATTTAAATATAATTATTTTATTAAATATACAGGATATATTTTTAAGAAAAAAATATATCTATAAAATTTTATATAAAATTTATATAAAATATAAAAGTAACTATAAGTTCTATATATTTGCAATATAAAAAAATTGAATAAAATAAATTTTCTTAAGATTTTTAATCAATATGTTAGGGAAGAAGATGATACAGTTATTTAAATTTTAAAATTATTTCTTGATCACATAATTTTTCACAGTGCAAATATAGATAAAGTAAATAATACAAAAAATATAAAAATAGAATAAAACTATTGAAATAAATATTATCTTCAGATTGCCACAAATGAAATATATTAAAAAAGGACAAAAAATAAGAATTAGAATAAGAATTGATCTTTAATGCCATCTCTTAAGTGCAAAGAACTCTTCAAAGAATTATTTTTCTCCAAGAGTACTTATAGATGACGTTGATGATCAATTCTTATTTATTAACATGTTTTTGAAAAAATTTACGTAGCATTTTTCTGTAAGATGGCATTAATAATCAATTCTTACTTTATCTTTATCTATTAATTGTTCTTCTTGTTTTATACATTGATGTATAACTCGTCATCTTTTTCACATTGTGACAATTAGGAAATTTTGATATTTCCCAAAAAATGATTTCAATTACCAATTACGAATTTATTTTATTTACAGTAATAATGCGCAATAAGTTTGAATATTTTTTAAAGGTGCACAACTAATTAAACATTAGAAAAGATAAAAACATTTTTATGCATGATATATTGCATTTCTATTCTATTGTAGTTTAATTTATATTTTTTTTTATTCGTTATAAAAAATGATATTAAAAATTACCAAGAGTAATTATATGCATAACTAATTATAAGGATAACAAAATAAAATAATTATAATCCTTAACAAAAAAGAATATAAATTTAAAAAAAATAAAAAATTATTTTTATATAATTTTTAAGTATTCAATATTTATAAAAATATTTTATATTTTAACCAATGGAATTTAGTAACGTGTTTTTTATTACATCAGTTGTGTACACACATATATATATTGGATTAGATGATTGCGTATTATCACATTCACGAATGAAAACAGCTTGTTGGTTATGTTAGATAGGTTAAGTTTTTTAAAATGTTTGTTATGTTATTAATAACAATGTGAATGCATCATGCAAATACAAGAAATAAGATTTCTTGGTTCTTGCTTCATTCTTATATTCCTCAATATTGGAATATCTGGTGGCATTGGTGGAGGTTAGTAATTTAGTATATAGTTATAAATAAACTTATTATTAAATAATTATTTATGACTAAATATTTATTAGGACATTCTTTTACATATAAATCGATAGGTTCTTATATCGATACAAGTATTGGTTCAGATGTATTTTTTGAAATTATATATCCCCCGGAATTGGAGTATACATATAAGTTAAGGCCCGCGAAAGATTTTGGAGCACCATTCGTACGTATATGATAATAGTATAATTATTATAAATAAAAATTTAATTTTAATTTGATTTATTGTTTATATTTTTAGAATGCAAGTTTTCTAGAAGAAAAAATTCCTTTAGTTCCAACTGATCCTCCTCATGGCTGTCAAATAGTAAGAAATGCAAAAGAATTAAAAGGTAGAATTGCGTTAGTTGAGAGAGGAGATTGTAGTTTCTTTGCTAAAAGCATAATGGCAGAAGAAGCTGGAGCAAAGGCTGTAATCATAGCAGATTATCATTCATCTTCTATGGAAGAATCAATAACTAATTCTTTATGGGCTGATTATTATTACATAGAGATGATACGCGATGATACTATTCCGTCATCAAAGACAGTAAACATTCCCGCTGGATTTTTGCTCGGTAAGAACGGCAAAATGATCCGACAGACTTTAAAACGTTTGAATCAACCATTTGCCTTAATCAATATCCCAGTGAATTTAACTTATACTTCTTTAGATAAATTACATCAACCTCCTTGGTTGTTTTGGTGATTATTCATAAAATTTTTTATTGATTTTTATAACACAAAGCAAATAATTTAAAAAAATAAAAGATTTTAAAATTATTATTAAAGAAAATGGGATTAGTTATGATCAAAATAATCATACAAAATTTATTGTGTATTGTAATTGTAAATGATAAGAAATGTAATTTATGGAATTTATTCTTGAATTAGCAATTATTTTGTGAGAGGTCGCGTTTCTCTTTCTAACCATTCAAGAGCTTGAATATTTTCTGGTCCTTGCAATAGAGGTTTTATAGTATTCAAACATTTTGCATGATAATTATTCAAATATTGAATCTGAAAAGAATTAAATAATCAATTATTTTAAAGCAATTAATAAGAAGAATAAATCGAATCTATACCTCAACATCCGTTAATAAGGAACATCAAGTAGTTTAGTTTGAATAGGCACTAATGTAACTGTTTCAAAAGTAAGAAAGCCACGATTCTTATGATTATAATGTGTGTTTGCCTTTACTATCAATTCTATATTTTCCAATCTAATGCCAAATTTTTCATCTTCATAATATCCTGGTTCTAATGATTTTATTAGTATATTAATATATATATATAACTTAATATATAATGAAAAAAATTTTTTTTACATTATACCATTTGAAAGAAACATGCCAGGTTGTAAACCTGGATCATCAGGATATGGTCTCCAAGAAATACTGATTGGTCCTTCATGAACATTTAGATATGAACCTATTCCATGTCCTGTACCATGAAGATAATTGAGACTGTAATTGTATATTTAAATATAAATAAATAGTATTTTCCATTTTATAAGCAAAATAAATACATTTACCCAACATTCCATAAATTTTCCCGAGCAAGCGTATCAAGATAATTTCCTTGTATCATTAAAGGAAAAATTGTCGACGAAAGACGACATTGTCCCTTAAATACTCTCGTGAAACATTCGCGCTCAAAATTTGTTGGATTACCAAAGTGTAATGTTCTTGTAACATCTGTGGTACCATCTTTATATTGTGCTCCAGAATCACAAAGATAAATTTCTTTATCTGTAATTGGTACATCTGTTTTCAATGTTGGTAGATAATGAATTATTGCTGCATGTGGTCCAACAGAAGATATTGTAGGAAAGCTGAGTCCAATAAAGTATTCTTGTTCCCTTTTGAATAATAAATATTATAATTAACATTTCTATTAATATCTAAATTTTATATTACATACAAATTTTCTTACTGTCTAAATTTTTCAAGTTGAGTTGCTCCAGATATTTCTGTGACAGTATTCTTTTTATTTTTAATTTGATCTTCTAACCAAGCGAAATATTTTACAAGTGCAACTGAATCTCGTATATGTGCCGCTTTCATTCCCGCTATTTCAGTATTATTTTTTACTGCCTTCATGACGCTTATTGGAGTAATTTTTATATGTTTCTTTGCTTCTCCACAATCAGCATGTAAAGCATAACTAGAACTATTACTTAGCCATATTTTATCATCATTTATGCACGAATTCGCAATTTTCTTTAAACAATTATGTATATCTTCATATGGATGATAAATTAAATTTACTTCTTCAATAATCAATTGTTGCTGAGCTTCTTTAGTAAGCTTACTTTTATCAATGAATAAGTGTAAATCATCTAATGTAAGAATGATATATGCAAAGAAGATAGGATTATAAGGTATATCAGACCCTCTTAAATTTAAAATGTATGCTACTTCATCTAGAGCTGTGATTACAAGTGCTTTTACTTTATTTTTGTTCATTACTTCCCTACATAATTTCACTTTTTTCCCTGCTATACACCCAGAAAATTGTAATGATTGAGGTACAATAATATTAGCTGTAGGAGCAGGTTGTTCATCACCCCAAACTTTATCAATAAGATTCTCCTCAAGAGGCATCAAACAATGACCAGCAGCACTTAAACTAGTATGTAAAACTACCCATTCTGTGTAACTTATTAAATTAGAATCTGCACCAACAGTAGATTTAGGAGGTAAATTACAAGTCAACCAAGCAGCTCTAGTTGGAGTGTCCAATAAACCTTCTTTCATTAAAGTCCATTCCTCTGACGGATCAAATTCAGCTAAAGCTTGCATATAGTATCTTCCATCAGTCCAAAGTAGAGCTTTGTTTTGTGTAATAATTGCAGTACCAAAAGAACCAGTGAAACCACTTATGAAACAAATTCTTTTATCATGCTCTCTTAAATATTCTGATTGATGAGCATCATCTGAACTTACAATTAAAGCTTGAATACCTTTCTCTTTAAGTCCACCTATTTGAACAGCTTTCATTAATTCTCGTAGTTTAGCTAATTTAATTACACCACTTCTTTGGGCCATATTGATGTTTGTTTTTTATTAATATATAATATACTAAAACAAAAAAATATTATTAATTTTATATAAATTAAAAAAATTCGTGTAACATTTAAATCAATATGATAATAATTAAAAATAAAATTTAAAATCAATATATTTACCAATATATGTGTTTGTGACACGAATGTCACTCGATTTGTACCATTTGATATTATAATACTGTTATCTTATCGAAATAAAATAATCTTATCAAATGTTTTATGAATATAACGAAAAATTATTAGCAGTATATCAAATATAAATTGATGTATAAAATTTGAAAATGTATGATGTTTTACGTACTAACCATTATTTTACACAAGGTTAGAAAGAACATGCTATTTGAATTGTATAATTTATAACGTAATTCTTTGACAGTTATCTTGAAAGCCGTTGCTATTCTTACGATTTATAATAAAGCGGTATATCAGAATTTTTTGAACTTTTATTGTTATTATTATCATAACAATAACTTCATTGATATTTACGTTTTACAAAATAAATTTTTCGTAATTATTAATATGCTACTTAAAAATTGACAAATTTTTTTTATTTTTATAACTAACAATATTTATTTAAATATATATTATATATTAAAATGTTAAATACGAAAATGTAAAAATAATATATATATATATATTATTATTATATTAATTAATAAAGAGTTGTAAAAAAGAATTATCATTTTAAGGAAAGATATATAACATTACAATGTAAGTATATATTTATATATATACTTAAGTCATTGTTTTTTATTTATTATCAAAATTTTAATCTTTTTTAGCATGTTGAGTTTAACAAGATATTGTACTTCAACAATAATAAGAAGCAACATAATAAAGTTTCTTCCAATTAAAAAAAATTATATACATATACATCAAAATCAGTAATTACAAATACAACTCTTACATTAATGAAAAGGAATTCCATTTTGCATAAAGTATTGTATATTAGTAATAAATATATATGGCTATATATTTAATATACAAAGTAATAATATAATTTTAAATAATTTTATGTAATAATTTAATTTCAGGATTTATTTAAAGGATGTAATATCATTGCAAAAGGATTTGCATCAAAATCAAGTCAGAAATCAGATAAAGTTTTGGGCAAATGGTTATTAAGTTGTAGTGGCATGATTTTTGTAGCTGTTATTTTAGGTACAGTTTTTTATTGGTTTTTTTATTATTGCGCTTGTACTGTCATAAAAGCAGTTGTAGATAAAACTTATGGAAAATAATTTATCATAATAATTAAAGAATATTTTAAACCAATATTCATTATTATAATTAATACATATGCTTATAAAATGTTAATATATATATATATATATATAATAAACTTCTATTATAAAATATAACATAAATAAAGAAATTGAAAAAGAACTATTATTTGTATCTTACCTATGAATTTAGGAGGTGTAACAAGACTTACAGAATCTGGTTTATCCATGGTTACTTGGAAATTACTTGGAGAAAAAATGCCAATTACTGAAAATCAATGGCATGCAGAATTTGAACGTTATAAACAATTTCCTGAATATAAAATGTAAGAGTATAAAATAATAGTATTATTTATCAAATTTATTTTTCATATTAATTTTTTTTTATAGCAATAATCAAAATATGACATTGGAAGAATTTAAACGTATTTGGTGGATGGAATATTTGCACAGAATGTGGGGACGTTTGATAGGTGCTGTTTTCATAGTTCCAGCTACTTATTTTTGGGTAAAAGGTATGCTAAAACCAAGCATGAAAATCAGAATAGCCATTTTGGGTTCATTAATTGGCTTACAAGGACTCATGGGTTGGTACATGGTTAAATCGGGTTTAGAAGATCGTTTCGTGGAACCTTCAGACGTACCTCGCGTCTCACAGTATCGTTTGGCTGCGCATTTGGGAATAGCATTTCTATTATATACAGGATTTTTGTATAATGCTTTAAATTACTTGGTTCCTGCTCAAAAATTAATTCTTAATAATTCAAATGTTAATATTAGTGATCTGAAATCAAAACTGAAGAAATTTAGAATATTGGTTCATTCAACGAAAGGACTAGTCTTCTTTACTGCTTTGTCCGGAGCTTTCGTTGCAGGAATGGATGCAGGTCTTATTTATAATACATTTCCAAAAATGGCAAATAAATGGATACCAGATGATATATTTGCGATATCACCTATATGGAAAAATTTTACTGAAAATCCAACTACAATACAATTCGATCATCGAATTCTGGTATGTTTTAAGAAAAAACAAATTGAATCAAATTATGATATTACAATTAAAATATAATATTATAAACTAAACTTATTTTTTATAGGTATTACAACTTTATCATTAATAACTTATATTGCAATTGCATCTCGTAAATATAAACTTCCGGGTAATGCAAAAAAAGCTGCAATAGCGGTTCTGTGTGCTGGCTATTTACAAGTACTATTAGGTATTTTAACATTGTTGCATCATGTACCTTTACCAATAGCTGCATCTCATCAATCTGGCAGTCTTATTGTTTTGAGTACAATGATATGGTTATGTCATGAATTAAAATATTTAAAATATGTATTAAAATAAATATATAAAATATCCTGTATATTTTATTTTATTTTTTTGTTACTTAAAAATTCATAAAAAAAAGTGCTACAATAGTTTCACAATATTATGTTTTATTTGACAATGCATAAATTATAATAATTAATATTCATGGAAAATCATTTACATTCATTTTAAGGCAATATATCTATTATACAAATATTATATCAAATTTTAACTAATTTTATATCATTGAAAATAAATATTTTCAATTTCATATTTGATATTTAAAAAGAACAAATAAACATTTAATTTAAAATAATATTAAACAAATATTAACATTTTTTAGATTATATTTTGCGAACGTGACTGGATTTTTAAAGTATAAATAAAAAATTTATTACTAACATCATTTATTATTTTTATGCTTTGCATATGATTTAATAATGTTAGTACTAGCATCTAATTTTAAAAACCAGTTTTAATAAGTAATATTATTTATTCAATTAGTTTAAAAAATGTGTAAACCCTGCTTAATGAATAATTGCTATTTAATTATAATATTTTTTATTAACATTTTAAAATTTTTTTTCATATTTTATAATTTCTGATTAGCAATACAATGAATTCAATTTTATTTTTATTGGCAGTTGTTCTACCTTATCTCCAATCAGTCGTCCTTTAATCTTTGTTTTTCGTTTAAAACGCCTTATATTGGTCCAACATAGCATTATTAATATTAAGCAGTAGCAATATTTAAGAGGCGTTCTAAATTGCACTTTCATTATTGTAACACTTTTTATTTACACTCGTCATATTTTTATTTCATTATATGACAATTGCGCCGCATCACATTTTTGTTCAACATTACACGGACATGAGTATTAAAAAAAGGAAAATGTATATTATCATTCATACAAATACAAATTATATCACTTAAAAAAAACGCAACATTTATATTAAAATCTTTATATGAAATATGCGTGAAAAATATAGTTTAATTAATACTATACACAAAATAATCTTGTATTATTTGAATATCAATCAAAATGAACTTAAAATGCAGTCTCTTGCTATATATTGTAAATAACACAAATTCTATATTGCAAAACTAATATCAGTCTGATAGAATTTATTGTTCCATTGAGAATCTTATGTCTTAATTCCTGGTAACAAATGTCTCTCTATAAATGCAGTATTATTTTCATATTTAATACGAACTCAAGTCTATTTATACATAACCAATAAAACAAATGGAAAATATTTCATTTTTTAATTATTTCAATTAGGCATAGAACTTTGTGCTTTTAATTAGCTATGAACTAACTGATCAATATTTTAATTGATACGATCGTCAATTATCGATTATGTGTGTTTAGACTAAAGCTCATCTAAAATAATATTTTAGATGTGTAATGTTACTGTTTTACTAAAGAAATGTCGATTTAAACAACATTATTCAGTATTTATATATTCTTAATGCATTATTACAGATTATTGAACAAAGAGATTTTGTTTTTGCTAATCCTTGAACACAATTACTGAAAATATAAATAAATGAATAATATAATATATGGAACTTTTAAATTTACAGACTTAAAACAAGTGCTTGCTTTATTTGCACTGATATTTATAATGTATCAAAAAAATGCATAATAGTTAATGCAAGATTTCATTTTCTTAATATGAACAGGGTTTTATACATTTATGTTCATATTTTTAATGATTGCTTCCAGTCATTTCTATCACTTGTATGTAATAATCCAATTTATAAATAAATTACTTATAAGATTAAATATGTTTGCTTTGACACTCAAATTGAGAATATGGAGTGGAACCAACATATGTATCTGTATACATATTATATATTATGTATTATACATACACGCACACGCAATACTATATATTATAATTTTATAATCAATGCATATGAAAAACAAACTTATTACTGCTGGGTTAGTACAGTCAATAAATTCACACGCATAATATGTCATCTGATATAATTATATTCTAAATCATTTTTTTTGTGCAACATGTGGAGCAGAAGTAAGAATTAAGTGCTATTAAACTTGAATTAGCATTAATGATTTTATTGTGATCATTTTATTGTAAGCACAAATATGAAACATAGATAGTGATTGTGCTAATAAAATTATATAAAAATTATACATTCTGCACCACATGTAATTTAATTATTAATCGTACATTTTTTCTTCTGTGCATTATTCAGCAGTATAGATCTTATATTATTTTCTTAGTACTTATAGGAAGGAATCGTAGATTTTAGGCCACTAATAGGCCAACATGTACTTTTATGAAATAATTCAAATATATATCTTATAAACATTCACAATACATTTACAAAAAATTTAATAAATTTAATCAAAATGAAAATGTCAAAGATTTGTGTATATTCTACATATTATGCAATAAAACTGTTATTAATTTTTTTCTGTTAATTTAACTTTAAAAAAATTAAAATTAATTACAAAAAGTTTAGAAAATGTGAAATTTGTAAGAAATGAAAGAAAAATGCATTGCAACAATTAATATATACTTTGCTCCTTTTTTCACTATTGTCCATTGTATTTTTATATTCATTCATATTTATATAATTTTCTTATAATTTCCTTATTATTATTGTTATTATTATAATCTTTTTTAAGTGTACAATTTAATTTTTATATTATATAATTATGCAACATTGTTTAATAAGCAGCATAGAATAATTTTCTATGTGTAATACTTAGTTTCCCCAAGTGTTACAGCACCAGCACCTTTGTTGGTAATAACAAATAAGTATAACAACATTCCTGCTATGAGGTAAATGTTATCTCAATACCAATTATTCATAATCTTTTTTGTAAGTATTTACTTACTTAAACCAATGTTAATCAAAATTCTTTAACAGTTTATTTTTGTAGTTAGCATTTTTTTTGAACTAGTTTATAAATTAATAAAAATTAAATAATCACAACCCACAATTTAAACGCAATATTATTTAATCCTTATAACAATTGTATATAAATATATATAATATATATAAATATTATATCATATATATTATATATATATATTATATATATTATATATATAATAT